CTGGGATGCGGATGGAACGGGGGGGCATGTGAAGCATCACAAAGCAGGAGGACCCTCTAGCTCAGGGTCTCCGACAGCATCTTTGAAGGGGGACACATGAGGTGTAGCAGGGCTTCTCCAGCATCTCCCAGTAGGACCACTGGGCAAGAAGGGACTGCCCAGTTACTTTGTCCTCTCGGCCCCAGGAAGCCACGTAGCTCAGAAGGGGCTGCAGGCATACCCTCCAACACCACGGGCTTTGGAGTAATATAACTGAAATTCTGAATTTTGCATCTTCCACAGCCTTTCAGGCTTCAATTACAAAGTGAACTCTTCAAAACCATGGTGGCAACTGACCACAAGGAAAACACATGCCCCCCAGTTCAGACTAGGACGGGTTATCACCACAGATGACAGCCACCCATCCTCAGTAGCTGAGCTCATCTGTTTTCCCAGAAACTTCCCCTCCCAGCTTAGCTTAAATATTACTGTCAGGTTTAAGCTTAAAACTTAGTTCTCCTTCCAAAACTTAGGCAATTCCATTTCATCATGTCTTGACTAATCCTGTATCTCCTGAGATGAACAGGGCATAGTTAAAACCTCTGTCTGGGTAACAAATGGAAACACCACGGCTGACCACACGAACACCTCTCTGCAGCCCCCTCCTCCCATCCCAGTCCTGGTGGGAGGCAAAGAAGGGGGGGAGCTGGTGGTCTGAGAAGCATAAATAAAAGGTATATGAGGACTGAAGATGTGTTGATAGAACAGAAGAGAGACGTAGGCAATTGGAGCCACTGCAAGGCAAGAAAAGAAACACTCCAGTGCTGAGAAACCACAAGCTCCCTCTACCTGGATATCACGGGACGTGTTTTCTTGGTCTCTCCTTTTGCTCTAACGGAATAGTCTGAGTTTCTGCAACCTTCTTCAGACTTTCCACCTGAATCTAAAGGCTCCTGCCCAGAGCCTGCTCTTCTGTACGTACATCCAGGCAGACTCATCAGGAAACCCGTACATGAAAAGGTTACTGATTAAAAAGAAAAACCCTCCAGTCCCACCACAAACTGCTCTATTCAAATTCCACTAAATATTTACAAAGTTTGGAAAATGCATTTATAAACCCAGGCATGTACTGAGCTCTTAAATATTTCATATGCTTCACACAGCTCTAAGAAGTGCAAGCCATACCCAAGCAGATTGCACTCTTTTCAGTTTTGTGTGTCCCTTTGAAACCTGAACTTTGGTCTGACTGAACAGAAAAAAAGCAAAACCGAAATCAGTTTTATTAATTTTTTTGAAAAGCTAGAGTTTTTCAGCTGCAGATCATTTTTTCCCCCCCTTGTTCATGCCCTGATAAGATTAGCAAAGCCGAGGTGACAGTATCTCTTGGTTTGCAAGCGGATGGCAGCGGTAAGCCTCTCTCAGTAGGAGCACACCACTTTTTCAGATTAGCGAACAATGAATTCACTCTCGGGGACTTTCCACGTCCTGTCGGAAATAGCACAGCGAGGGACTTTCCACAGCGGGAGCGCTGAGCTGCTGCAGGACGTTACACAC